AATGGTAAAATTTAATTGATTAGAAGAAAGTCAAATTTACTGCAATGTCATTGAAATCACTAAGGCTTATTTGTGAAAACCAACATTGTTTTATTGAGCTTACCCTGAGGATGACCAAACTTGAATGAAATTCTAATAGTACAATCATGAGCCATAAAATATGTTACACTTTCTGAATCTCTACTTTTTCTGGTGTATTGCAAAGTCCATTCTAGAATAATTACAGGGAATGTGCTTGGCTGAAGCATTTATTAGCTTTTTTTTTTTAAAGTAAACGAATGCAATATTTGTATCTGTAAAGCCAAAAATATTGTATGAACTGGAAAGTTTCCCAACCTGTAGGATTACATGTCAATATGTCCATGCATAGATAAATTATGGAGGAAGTTAAGAGTTAATTATTTGCTGGCCTTGGCAATTGCCACTTGGAACACTCTGTGAGGCATAACTGGGATCTCATTGTGTAAGAAGATCGGTCTGAACAAGCCCTTAGGGCAGGGGTGTCAAACTCATGGTGTCACAGCGTCGTCATGTGATATATTGCAACATTTCCCCCCTTCACTAAAGCAGGTGTGGGTGTTGCCAGCGCATGCACATCTGGCCCACGGGCTACAAGTTTGACATCCCTGCCTTCGGGCCAGCCAAACCCCAAGCGGAAGACACAAAGAAACTGGCATATCCAATCTGTTGGAATTGAAATAAAACAATCTGTTAGGTAAGACAGAATCATAACAGGACAGCACGGCAGATTCAAATGCAGTACAAAGTTTGGATGGGACCACCTGGAGAAGATTTGATTGAGTTACTTTTATGAGAAAGTCACATTTTTTGGAACATTTTGGCCCTATTTGCATAAATACTTGACTGAGTCATACCCAAGAGATGTAGTGTATCAGCATGTCAAGTGAACTCTTTAACCCATAAAAAAAATCCTGTTTAGCCAACCCAGAGGGGATTAAATTTAACAGGAGGAGGAAGGTGTGTTGGATATAGTTGCCTTAAGTTGTTGATGAAAATAATAAAGGTGGGATAGGTAAAGGTAAAGGTAAAGGTTCCCCACCCATGCGTACTAATTGTTTCCGGCTCTAGGGGCGGTGCTTATCTCCATTTCTAAGCCGAAGAGCCAGCGCTGTCTGAAGACTTCTCTGTGGTCATTTGACCAGCATGACTAAATGCCGAAGGCACAGAGTGCTGATATTTTCCAACCAAAGTGGTCCCTATTTTTTCTACTTGCACTTTTTACATGCTTTACAACTGCTAGGTTGACAGAAGCTGGGACAAGTAATGGGAGCTCACTCTTTTACGTGGTGCTAGGGATTCGAACCGCTGAACTACCAAACTTCTGATCGACAAGCTCAGCATCTAGGCCACTGAGCCACCATGTCCCAGAAAGGTGGGATACCAACAAACAAATATTAAATGTAGTTCCAAATAGTCCTGGATTAGCTTGATTTTAATTAATTTCCCAGTAAGTCACTCAGAGTTGTCTTGAACTTTGAGATGGACAGCAAATAAATTTGATAAATAGAAGTAATAAATAAATACAACTCCTTCCCTGTTGGGTCAGGTCTTTTACTGGGATTATACTGACATTCCTTATTTCCAAAACAGAGATAACCAAAAGAGAGACTTGTCTTTGTTTCCTTAGTAGATTTCACCCCTGCTATTAAGGACATATGCTGAGAAAGTAAAAAACAAACAAACACAAAAACACCTAAAATGACTGTAATTGCAAAATTGAAACCCTGAGCCTTTTCACCTCCTTCATAGTCAGGACACCCATAAAAAGGGTTGGGGTTGGAATTTCGCAGTGTTGTGAAATGTTGACTCACCTATGGACTGAAAAAGGAACAGAGAGTTCCTTTCCCTATGCCTGTCTAGTGCCCTTTTGGCAACCCTAAAAACACCATTGCTGATTCCCTCCACTTTCTTTTGCAAAATAATTAAAAAGGCAGAAAGTAGGCAGATAACATCCAGAGTCCAGATAGCTTTGTGGCATCTGATGGATTAAAAGATTGCCACATATGACTGGACAACCATTCTATGTCTCATTAAATGACTAGAGGAAGAGTAGAAGGGTTTGAGTCCTTCTTTTATAATCTTTGGTAGAATGACAATTTTTACTACATGATTGCAGATGTTAGCTGTAGAATTCAATGGGTTGCCAAAGCAACAAAATCTTAATTTGTAATCCCCCCCTCACCTATCTGCCATAATTTTCAGACAAAATCCATTAAGAGTGGAAAAAAAAATGCATATGCTTTGGTGTCTTTTTATTAGTGGCATCTAAGAAACCTCGGGATCATCCCTTGCAAGATCACTTCCACACATATTTTTTAATGCAAGAAATTGCACATTCGTTGCAGTGCTTTTGAAAAGCTTCCGCTCCACCCTCTAGAAACTGGTCTTGATTGTTCATATACATTTTCAGGGCTCAAGAACAAGGGGTGCAGCTTTCTGAATTCTCTGCACTCAATTTCAGCTTTCTAGGCTTAAAATTTCTAGATGTTGGTAAAGGGAATTGCTTTTAGAGTGATCTCTTATGGTTTGAGGCATTCCATATCTTACCTGATGTATCAAGTTCATGCTTTGCCACCACACTGGTGTTGCTTTGTGGAGCAGCCTGTAGGGGACTCTGTGCCTGGGTCGGCTGTTGCAGTGGCTTGAATGTTGGGTCAATTTCCAAGATCAAGCGGTTCAAGTTCTCAATAGATATATCCAAAGTAGGAGAGGCTGGATAGCTTTCTTCATTTGGCTCTGTTGGTTCTTCCTGCTGATGTTTGTCCTCACAATGTTGAGAGGGCACAGGTGTGGCTATTACAGTAGATTTAACAGCTTTATTAGGTGGTGAGCATCCTTGGGTTTGAGCCAACAAGTTCTTCCTGTCCCAGCCTTCCACTGTATAATAAAAACACTGCATTGGCAATGTGTGACAGGAGAAACCATCATTTGGGTGCTGCAAACAGGCATGTTCTTCTTTGGGTGAAATGCATACTGTCTGCCCAACCCGTACCACATGATTTGGGATGACTTTTGACATCCTGAAGCTATTAAGTCTTCTTGTCTTTATGTTGTGATTGATTCCAATTTTGCCAATACCTGTAAACTTTAGTTGGGTCCTGATTCATTCATCGAGAAGTCCCATGTGCATAGGACCTTAAAAAAAATGAAAGAAAGAAAGAAAGGAGTGCACTTTAGTCTCAGAGATGGGAGAGGGAAAGAAAATAGTTCACAAATAAATTCTAAGGATAGGAATTATTTGCACCAATGCATTTTCTGCCAAAATGGATTTGAAAGATTACTTTTAATTAATGATGAAGTACAGGGAAAAAAAAGTGTCAAAATTCTTTCTCCCCCCCCCCCTCCACTTACAGTTTTAGGAGTTTAAGATTCCACTATGTGTTTGCTATTTGAATTTTTAAAATTGCATGTTATCTGCTCTTTGTTCAAAATTTAAAGAAAGGATCGCTCACTATTGTTGCACTATTATAGGATGTTAAAACAGAAGCTATACAGACCAGAAGGAGAAGTCAACAAAAGGAAAAGTCAGCGGGTGAGGGACATACTATGAAGGAAACTGTTTCCTTCATAGTGTCCTGAGATGACTGTCAGGACTCTGTCATCCATACCAAGGTTGTGGTGGGAACATTCTTGCTTATGGAGCCATCTTTGGACTCAGTCTATTTCAACTGTTTCTATATTCAATTTTTAGCTAAGCTGATAAAAAGGGAAGTGAGGCGAGGCTTCAGTAGCTCTTAGGCAAAACTACTTATCCTGATCAGAGGTGGGTTCCTACCTATTTGGTCCAGTTCGGCCGAATAGGTAGTAACTCCGGAGGACACGTGACTATACTGGTTCTATGATCGGCGGTGCCATCTTGATTTTCTGTTCTGCACATGCGCAGAACAATCTTCATTAAAAATGTAATTTTTATTCTTTTTTTTAATGTTGTGTGCATGCACAGATCATTTTTACCGAACCAGTAATAATGGCGGCCGGAAGCCACCCCTGATCCTGATGCTTTGTAGTTTGGTTTCAGGTCCATAATTGGCACCTGAACAGAAATGGTCTGTAAACTGAGGCTCAGCCCAGGTGAAAGAGAGAGATACTGTTTGTGAATTATGCTAGCTGAGTTCCAGAGGGGTCTGCAATTTCCTGAAAGCAGCATGTTTGCATTTTTGAAAGTTGTTAGATACTAGCTATCGTTATAATGGTTTCCACCAAGGTCCTCTGTTCCGGCGGGAACAGAGGTTTAATCTCATTGGTCGAAGGGTCTGACAGCTCCCTNTCCAATCATACTTGGCCAATAAAGAATTCTATTCTATTCTATTCTATTCTATTCTATTCTATTCTATTCTATTCTATTCTATTCTATTCTATTCTTAATAGAACCAAATAGGCATTTGGATTCAGTCATCTATGTAGTCCCTCCATTTCTAAGATCTTTCTGCTGGATTTAAGCAGCAGATATTTGGTGCACTAATGGATTTTTCTTAGGTGTGTATTGATTTGGCTCCTGGCATTTCCTAGCCTTGATTTTACAAAAGTGATTCTTAGTTATTTTGACATAGTGAGGGGTGCAGAGGAACTAAAAATTTTGGCTATGCCCAAAGAAAATAACAGCTGCCTTGAAATATGGTACACCTTCCCTTACCAAACAAGTCAATAGGTAAAACCTACTTTATCCTGTCACATCCCTGTTCCAGTTCATCTTTTCCACCCACCATCTTTAAATGTGCACAATTGTTGCTGGCTTAGAGATAGTGTGACCAGGCCAAGGTGTTGGTTGAGGGCACTATTCTGCTCTGACAGAGTTTTTCATCACTGCTACCATTTTCTCCTGCCGTCATTGCTATACATTTTTTCTTCCTCCTTTCACCTTACTGCCTGATAGTATTTTTGTAAGCAAGCAACTGCAAAGTAGCTCAGGCAATGATACTTAACTACAGAGAAATGTCAAATAATCACACAGGATAATCCCTTTTATATAATGCATTTACCTTCCAAAAATGTAACTGGTGTCTGACCCAGGACTTGTTGAAAGCATTGATGCCTCACTGCATCGCTGGGCCATCCTCCTGAGTTGCAGGATGCCTGGAGAGGAAGCTAGGGAAGAATTTGAACCATAGGATGCAAAGTTCTTCTGATCTCGTTGTGGAATGGAAATACTTTCTGATACTTGGATGCAAGTTGGTGACTGCCTTCCTGTAGGGGAGAAATGCTGTGCACTTCCAGAAATATTACCAACAGCATCGCAGTTATAGCCAAGGTTGCCTCCACGTGGAAATAAATGCCCCCGATTTGGCGAAGACACAGAAAACGGAGTGCTGGAAGGACTTCTTGAGTTCTGCCAAGACTCTTGATACTTGGTTTTGCCTGGTGACATTTCAATATATTTTATGTCTGGTAAAAATAACAAGAGAAAATAAGACAAACTGCAAGAGCCACAAAATCAATTAGAATCCTTAGGTTCAACAGTCCTAAATCATTCTCCGGAAACATATGTAAAGTTCTTTACTACATTTACAAAGCAACAGATATTTAAAAGCAGATTTTAAATAATAGTATTTAATGTGTGTCAATACCTTATAACCAGCAGCACATGAGTGGGGAGGGCTGGCAATCAAAATGAACAAATGAACTAATATGAGAGAAGCCTTTGGAAAATATACCCTTCATATGATGAATACAAGAGTGATAAGAGATTTTACTTATGGAATTGATGAAAAGTCCTCCATGAAAAGAATGCTGGAAATCTTAGTATCCATTGGGGGGGGGGGAATGGATATTAGCAGAGAAGTACCAGGACCTGCTGGAGTATTGGAGAGGATATGGAAAGTAGAGACCATTGTCGTCCCAATGATGGTAGGAGAACTCAGAGCTGTGACTCCTAAGTTGGGAAAGTGGCTCCAACAGATCCTAGGAAAAGCATTACACCTTTCTGTCAAGAAGATGGTAGAGAACAGCTAAGATATTGTGCTGAACCCTCAAGCTTGCCAGGCCTCTGGTAGAGGGCTTGAGATTTAAGAAGATGCATACCACTCATTGTATTATATTGTATTGCATTGCATAACTTTACATTAGTATACTGCTATGCTATGCTATGCTATGCTATGCTATGCTATGCTATGCTATGCTATACCAGGGATATGATAGTTCAGTCGCTAAGATGCTGAGCTTGTTGATCAGAAAGGTCGGAAATTTGGCAGTTCAAATCCCTAACACTGTGTAATGGAGTGAGCTCCCATTACTTGTCCCAGCCTTTGCCAACTAGCAGTTCGAAAGCACATGAAATGCAAGTGGGAAGATAACAGCATTCCGTCATGCCGGCCATATGACCGCAGAGACGTCTTCAAACAGCACTGGCTCTTTGGGTTTAAAATGGAGATAGGCACCGCCCCCTAGAGTTGGGAACAACTAGCAAATTTACCTTTATACTACACTACACTAGACTACACTAATCATATATCAGTAATATATGGTGGTATTAAAAATGGAATAATAAATAAATGTTCTGCATTTCAATTATCCATGACCATGCTGCCCGGGACTGTGAGAATGGCAATGGCAGTGGGAGCAGCTGAAGGATATTGGGTTGTCTACGAAGACAGACCAAGAAAGAAAGAAGCTCTAACCTTACATTGATTTTGGATCATACACATTAGCATTGACAGTTGGTGAGACTGGCAGAGATTAATGGTCCAAATCCATTATAATTGCTGGTACATAGATCATAGTACATAGTATGGCACCTTTCCAACATGGCAGAAATATGGCTAAGAATTCTGGGAGTTGTAAAATCCTATTACCATTTCCATTATAACATCTACTAATTTTATTTCAAGTTACTCTATAACCTGCTTTTTCCCCAAAGAACAATAATTAGTGGGGGAACAAAGCTGGTAAATGTAGATACTGCATTTGTCTGATTCATTGTGAGACAATCTTATATGCTTCTGATTGGTCATTCATTCCAGCACAAGAATATTGGAGCTAAAGGGCAGATTATCTAGGTGGATAAACACCATTTTCAAGATCTTCTTTTTTCCAGGTGCAGATAACCTTCTAGCCAGACTTGGAAGTCAAAGAGCCTCCCAACAATGTGTTTTGTAGAGTCATCCAAGCAAGCTTCATGTCAATGAGTGCATTACTTGTTGGCACCTGAATAAAAGGGTGGGGATGCAAGCTTCAGTTGTTCTCCTTTCCTGCCTGTTCTGACAGCAAATGAGAAACATCTGGTTACTCCCAAAGAACATATCAGATACAAGTTAAAGGAGATTGCACAAAGCCATCTCCCTGCGCTGTTTTGACTCCAACCAAGCAATGATCTCATGCTGACCTTTACCAATATGTGTAATACAATTAGGATAACACATATTGCATTCAATTTTTTCTAACATGGAACTGCATTTCAAAGCAAAAAGGTGAGTTTATATTACTACTAATACTGCCAATACTTCCCCTAACATTTGGTTTTAGAAAAGAAAACCAACACTAGTCCGCAAAAACCATCTAAAGGCATTTCATTTAAATTTGATATCACAAGACATACCACTCTGGACAGTTAGATTTTAAAATGTATACTAGATGTATATAATATACATAAAATGTATAATATACTAGATGTATATAATATACATATAAGAAGCTTTTATATGGATATGATTTTGAAGAAAGAATACGAAGAAAAATAAGGGATATGTAACTTTCCCAGTGGTTTGCTCTTCTGTTCAAAATCCTTCCATGTGGGTTTTACACATTTTGATCTACAAAGAGACATTTTGTTTTTCCTGGGACAAATGACCTGTAATTCAGTTGGAACACATGAACATGTTGTCCCTCTTCTTTCCTTTATTACTTAGCACCCACGTTAAAAAAAAGAATCATAGCTCAACAGTAGATCACATTATGTAGATGCAAAAGATCAAGGTTAATCTCTAACAGCTGCAGCTTGGAGCGGTGAAGGTTGCTGTCAGAAATCTGCTCAATTGCTCTGACAGCATGTGAATACTGACTCAGATCAATAATTCAGTTTGGAATCAGGCAGCTTTAAAACACATTGATTTCAAAAACCTGCAAAGAGATATCAGTTAAACTTGATCTTACAATACAATAGCAGAGTTGGAAGGGACCTCGGAGGTCTTCTAGTCCAACCCNCTGTTCTGTTACAATAAAGAGCTGTTGTGTGCCTTTCCATTACCCGATCTAACAAAAGTGGCCCTAGATTCTCCATTGTCAACAGCGGCCCAGATGGTCTTGATGGCACCATGTGCCTTTTATCACCTTTGGCCGATTTACTAATTGTGACATTATGTGGAGAGAAGCAGACTTACAACATTTATGCTCTGGTATCTTCCCATGCGGATTTTTGCAAAGCGCTGTACATGGGACTACTTTTGAAAATAGTTTGTTAGTTTAGAATGATTGGGGCTGATTAAAATAAACATATTATACTATTTGCTTTTCATTTATACAGACCCAATTCAAAGTGCTGATTTTAACCAAAATTAACCTATAAAAGCTTAGGGCTATATACCTGAAGAAGTGCCTTCTTCTATATATTCTATCTGGATCTTGAGATCTTCTGCTGAGGCCCTTTCCAGGTCCTTGCACCAAAGGAGATGAGATGGACTTTATAAAGGGTAAAGCTTTTCTATGGTGGCAACCATTTAGGGAATTCCCTCCTCAAAGATGTCAACTGCAATAACTAACATCATTTTAGCACTAGGTGAATGACTTCCTATTTCCCCAAGCTTCTAAAATAACTTTTAATTGCATTTTAATTTAGGTTGTTTTAGATTTTGAATGACTGCTGTGCAACTATTCTATGTCTAGTTCAGGATATCTAAGTCATGAATATATTCAGCAGGAAAGGACTGCCACAGCAAAATTAGCAATAACTCCAGTAAGACAAAATTGGGATTGATTCTGGAAACTGGTGTGCAATTTGAGAGATAAATCTGTTCACTATGGAGTTACAATTCCTGTTATGGAACAAGCCTGTTTGTCAAAGAACCTCCTGGATCCAGATCCCAATTCAGTGGACAGTGACATACTTTCAAAGGCAGGAGAGTCTTTTCCAAGCTTTCAGATTTCGGTATTGAAAGAGAGAAACCTCACTCGAGGAACTCAAACACTGCTATTTGTAGGATAGATCTATGGAAATACACTCTTAAGGTGGCACTTCAAGATGCTCTGAAAACTGCAGTCAGCCAAGAACACTGCATTACATGCGATAAGTACTGCTTCTTTAGGGTCCTACATCACCCATGTATTCAAAAAGCTTCCTTCGTAATTGGTGGCCTTCCAATTCAATTCAGCATGTATAAACTCTTATAAGGCTTAGGTCCAAGTTATTTTGGGGACTGTCTGTTCTGCTACAGTTTACTCCCTGCTGTCAGGTGAGGCATCTCATTGCTTGCAAGTCCTGCTTTAGATCCATTGATCATTAATGTGACAGTTTATTTTATTTTACTTTATTCATATCAAGGCCAGTATTATGGAACAAACTACTATTGGAATTCTATCTTAAGTGTATACATAAAAGAAATTACGAAGTTTAGGAAGAGTTTTTTAAAAATTCTCAAAATAAGATAAATGCTCAAAACTTATTTATTTGGGCTTTTAACAGTGGTGGGTTTCAAATTTTTTTAGAACCTCTTCTGTAGGTGTTGCCTGCTTTGTGGGAGTGGCTTGCCAGCCATGT